TCATTTATTTATTTTCATGACTGTCTATACTTGTTCTTTTTTAAGCCTATACACATTGAGAAGCACACTGTAACCTATTTAGAGGTTTCTCCATCTGAACCTGCTTTAAAGTGCATCTGTAAACTTTTCTGTCTGCATAAGAAAAATCTTAAAACTACTATGTAGCTTAGCTCATGGCATGATGGTAGTTCAATCCCACAGGCATTGGCCAGGAGACTCATGTCTCTACATGCATGAAAGACTTGTGATTAGGAAGCTGCATTTTGCTCAATTTTTGTGTGTTTGGAACCTTTGTTTAAGCTTTCTCAGTTCATATGAGGAAATTCATTGCCCCACGTTGAGTACCATTTGTAGTGAGTCTTTCTCTGTCCTACCAGACAGCTCCCCAATTAGTACATAGAGACTTATAATTAATTATGAAAGCTTGGCTGATAGGTTAAGTTTGTTTCTAAGTATCTCTTACAACTAAAGTTAACCCATTTCTATCAATTTACTTTCTGCCTTGTGGCTTGATTGCCTTAACTCTCTACTGCCGATGCTGCTTTCTTGTTTCCTGCATGTCTGACTGGTGAGTCTCTCTTCTTTCCATAGTTCTCTCTGCCCCACTAATCCTGCCTAACCATTGGCCATTTACCTTTTTATTAAACCAATCTGAGGGACACTTGTTTACCACATAGAAAAAGATTATTCCTTGACATGTTTTTTTTTTATTTTTAATTAAATCAATTTTTAATACAAGGTGTCATGTAGTCAAGGCTTTCCTGGAACTCATGAAATACTTGGGGCTAACCTTGAGTTTCTGATCTACCTGCTCTCCATTCCAAGTTCATGGTTTGCAGGCATATACTAGCATGGCCAGTTGTATGTGGAGTCAAAGAGCATACCCAGAACTTCATAAATTCTGGGAAGATACTCCATATCCCCAGCTACCTTACAAAGCATTTGAATAAAACTTTAAACATGCAAAAATCAAATTTGTAAATTAGTGTTATTTTGTAGAACGTAAGACAGCATGTATGGAACTACCACATCACTTGAAAATATCCATAATGATTGTCAAAAACTTATGTTTACAATTTTTCTCAAAGGCTACTGCAAATGTTACCTTCAATGTATGAAAAGTAGGCTAATTATCATGTTCAAACATTGTTTGTGATTAGCATTTATTCTAACTCTTTTAAGAATTATTTTATTTATTTTATATTTATTTGTGTGTGTGTGTGTGTGTGTGTGTGTGTGTGTGTGTGTGTGTGTGTGTGTGTGTGTGAGCATGCATTGTATGTGTAACTGAAGATACCAACAGAGGCCAGAAGGGTGTTTCAGAGTCCCCTAGAACTAAAATTATAGGTGTTTGGAAAGCCACTGGAAGTAGCTGCTAGGCACCATAGTTTTGTCCTCCAGCAGAGCAGCAAGTGGTCTTAATCTCTGAGTCATCAATCTTCATTTTTGACAGTTTAAAAGAAATCCTTGAAAACCTGACAAAGAATACAAGGAGGATACTAACTAGGGATGAGCCCAGGTCTCAATTTCAACTCAGCTTGGAAGAGGAATATAGGCATTAAGCCAGACAATGGTTTTGAAATAAAATGTGGAAGTGCCAAAAGACAATTTCCCAAGAAATGGACATTCTCCAATGTTTCCTTAATGATGAAGTCGGCAACTGTTAGACAGAAAATCTATGTGAACAACTGAATCTTAAATAAATATCCTTGAGGAATATTGATTTTCTTTTAAAAAGAGATTTATTTTTAAAACTAGATATGTACATATGTGTGAGATTGCCCATGGAGTCCAGAAAAGGGTATCAGATAGCATGTAGGTAGAGTCACTGGCACTTGTGTGTCACACAATGTGGATACTAAAGTATTCGAGAAAAGCAGCTAGCATTTTTGCAGGCCACTCCTTTTTCTTTTTAAGAATAACACTCTGCCTGCTATTTATTCTTTACAAATACACTCCTCCAAAGGTAATCCAAAACAAATTTCCCTTATAAAAATGTATTCTGGACTGGGGAGACCATTTTTCTTTCCAATAAATGTACAAGAAAGCTAAAAATACAGAGAGGCTAAAGCAATTTCATAATTTGAAATATATCATCTATGGGTTCAGTGTTGAAAGTGGCTTTTTCACACATTGTCAGAGATATGGGTCACCCTTTAGAAAAACCAACAGCAATCATTGATGAAGAAGCATTCTACTTATGCAGTGAATCAAGTGGTACTCACAGCTTTCTGTTCTGATTGTTAGGTGTCATTTTCTGTACTATGAGACTATTTTTGTGAGATTTTAGTGCTTCAGAATATTACAAAACTGCATCTAATTTTGGGGTATTTTCCAGGTGATGGTCCACATAAGGAGATGTGGCTCTAAGTAGAATACTTGTCTAACATATACTGTGCCTTGAGTGCTCCATGCCTCGTATGGCAAAATAAAACAAAATGTTGTGAGTCAACCATTTCTCTAAATCTTACACCTCCTAATCAATAATACCTACTACTCCTATTAACCTGATATTCTGCTTCCTCTACAAATCAGGGAACTGTAGACATGCTTTTACTCATGGTGAATGTATCTATTCCAAATGAGATGAATATACAGGAAATGGGGAAGCAAGAAAAGTGGGAAGAAAAAAATAATATTGACTTACAAGACTGCTTTAAGAAACTTTTGTGTGGGGAGACAAGTTGTATGGCTGTTTTTTTCCTTTTGTTTCACTCCTCCATTTACTACGCTAAGGAAACAGCAGGACTGGAAAGAGCCCATTTCTCACGTCAAAGCAAACTTGTGATTAAGTGTACAGGTGGAAGTGAGATTAGGTTAAGCATCACTGCTTTGATTATTATGTAAGAGAAAAGCAAAATTGTCTACAAATTTAAGGAAGGATTTTTGTATGTATAATGTAAAAACAGAAAGTAAAGGAAAATTAAATGTACATTTGTGAATTATATGAAAAAGTGTTAAACCTCAACTCATTGGCAAACCCATATGGCATTAAGTTTTTGTGGATCCATAACAATAGATGGAATGGACTTATCTGTTACAGACACAGAGATCCTTTTACTCACAGAGAAACACTAAGAGAACCAAGAATGTTACTTACACGGGGGTGTCCCCTCAATGGAGGAGATACAAATCAAATACTTGCATTCCCTCCAGAAAGATGAGAGTGGAGTTTGTTAACTACATGGTCACCTTTTTTCTATAGAGGCAGATCTCACCCTAATTCCCAAGAATGATTATCACAGACTCTTCCCTCCCTATACCATTACCCATCCTTAGTGGAGATGTCACATGTACTTTATGGACTACTGACCTCTATGCTCTTGGCCTTTTAGATATAGAATCCACTCTCATGATCACATGTACCATGTAAAGGAATCTCTATATAGTCATACCTTAAGCTTTATTGTATACCTGGAACTGGACTGATTGTTGCCTGGAAAACTTTTCCCAAACTGTACTGTATGTTTAAATTTGTCAACAATGAACTACCTGATATTAGATTCCCCAATGTCTGATTCAGGTTGATAAAGTCAATATGTACTGGGTTTTCATTTGTATCTCTTCATGTGATTCACTTCCCTGTATGATACCTGCAGGGACTCCCGAACTTATCCACCAGGTCCGCTTGTTTATTTCATGGATCATTGGAATGAAAGTCTCTGTGATGGCCACAGTGGAGACTTTACCACTTTGGTAACTAACCTACATGCCTTTTTGAAATTGCTGCTCTCAGTACTGCCTCTAAGCCTGCAGTCCAAGCCCCCAAAATACTTATTTTATTTTTTAAAGAATCATATCTAACCTTAAACTCTATTTGGAGCAGATATAAGTTTATCAATGAATAAATGAATTTTAATAGTTCCAGAGAAATCTGTGCTTTTTTTGAAACTGGTGTTTTGCCCTTATGTTCAAAACCCAACTTTTCAATTTATCTAATGAAAACACCCATGTAAGCTTGAGGAAAGCAAGTAATTCTGGAGGACTAAACCTTGGCTCAAGTGCAAGGAAACTAAGCACTGAGCTTAAAGACAGAGTCTAAATTCTGGTAATGCTATTTGCAAGGACAAACTGTTCCGTATAATGAGGTTATTGACTCGCACACTTTTAGGATGGTTTCAAACATGAGAGTAAGGCTCCTGAAATCTCAGCCAGCAACATTAGCTGAGAAACCAAAACTGATCAATAAATAACCACCATTTGCAGGCTCCCAGGAACCTTTATCATAGTAGAAGTTGTTACAATTTTGGCCAGGCATGGAGAATAAGGTAAACATGACCTAACATCTTTTTATAATTTATCACTGGCTTCTCATTTGCACATGGAAGCCATTGATTAGGTGTTTGTTTGTTTGTAACTAACCTAGCTTTCTATTGCTCTTCTCAGGTAAGATCCTGTGATTAAATTTACCCCAGACTTCAAAATGCACATGCAGAAAGAAAGACAGTAGAAAGATTTCACTCAGGCTAGCATTTTACTGAAGAAAGATTCAATTACATGACATTTCACTAAAAATTCCTGACCTTATAAGGAACTAAAGCCTGAATGCATGTTTTTTTTTTCTTTCATAAGAAAGAGAAACAGAACAAGGGAGATCATATTGTGATTCTTCACAGCTGTTGAAGATGGTGTGATGCAATGGCTTGCTTTAAATTAAACCAAACAATATGAAGAGTATCAAGGCTGGCAAGCAATGCAATAAAGCCACCAAAGAATTTAATCTACCTTGAAGTTGGTGCTACTTTTTGTATTGATGGTACCACACTGGGGCAGAAATGAGTCCTTTAAGGCAATGACTTGTTAATAGGCTTAAGATCACAATATATAAATAGGATATGTTGATCAAAAAGACAGCTTTGCCTCTGCAATTGTGCTATGACCAATATTTCCTTACAAGTTATTTCAGTGATTATACATAGACCTTGTCAATGTAAAGTGTACAACAGGAGACATACAATCCATTATGAGGTAATACATATTGTTAGAGGTTGCTTCATTACCTTCACTGGCTGAGTGCTTGGCTTTTCCTGATACAAATGCTGCCCTTTAGACAAAAGCCTTTCCACATCCAGTTGTTTAGCTTGAACTGCTCCTTCAGTTTCCTGGGGGGAAAGAATGTATACAGTGCAGATTAACTTCACAGTTAGTAATAAAATTACTAAATTTAAATATACCCTTGGAGACTCCTCATGTATTGAAAATTAATTTCTGCATAGTACACAGGAGCAGGAAAATGTAGGTTTTGATAGGGAGAAAATATAGGTTCTTGTGAAATACAGTAGCATTAAAACAATCCAAAATCTTGAATTGTATCATGGTAATATAGTGGACAAACACAGACATTACATATTTCTTTAAAAAGCAAAATGCAATAATGAGAAGTACAATTTATCAATACATATAAACACCAGATTTAAAATCAGTAATACTAATGATGTTAATGTACCTTACAGACTCCTTATTTTGTAAGTTTCTGTTTTGAACTTCAGTTCTAAATTCTGTCTCTGTCTCTCTAAACATACACACACACACACACACTTGCTCCGTCTCTCTCTACTTGTGAGTTTATATGTAAAAGAAACCAAACAACTATTTTCATCTCCCTGTTGAAATGAAGTCTCTCTCTACTTGTGAGTGTATATGTAAAAGAAACCAAACAACTATTTTCATCTCCCTGTTGAAATGAAGTTCCTTTCCCAAGAATAAACACACAGCACAGTACCAAAGCTTATCATTTATTAAGCAGTCAAATTAAACAGATCTTTTGAAGAGTGATTAGATTACTTTTATTTTTCCATTGCCGGTGGACAACTGAAGCCTGGCAGAGGAAAGCAAACACTCCTTTAGGTATATGAATATAAAGTGTTTTGTTACTGACTTCTGTCTAGCTCTTGAAGAAACAACAAAAGAAAGGTGAATAATTGAAACTGAAGGAAGTGAAGTTAAACATTACAGAAGACTTTTTGGTTGGAACATTTGTTAAACACTGGGGTGGTATATTGATTAATCAATGTCCTGTGTCAGTCAGGGCCTGGGCAACCTTCCTCAGAGCTGCTTTTCATTAACAAGAATTCTTGTCTCCCTCTCCTATCCTGGTGCCTCCCGGCTCTGGTGTGTGTACATGTCTTGCAGCTTCACCTTGCTCTGTACACTGTGTTCCCACATGTTCCCCCCTCAGTTCACAAGGGTGGAAGCCTATGAGTTCAAGTCACTATAATCTGATCATGCACAGAAGGATATCTTGGAACATACGAATGCTCAGCACCTGTTCTTTGAGAGAGACTGTTTGCCTTGTTATTATTAGAATAACTACAAGTGTGAGACGGGTACTCTGGTCAAATGTGTCCCTAACATTAAAAGCATTTGCTGTATATTAATAAAATAAGAAACTACATACTTGACTCTCCTGGAAAAATTGATCCATGCTCTACTGACCACTGCCAGAAAGGTATTGTGCTTACAAGTAATTTTTGATAGTAATTCTTTGGTAGAGGTAGAATAATTTCCATCTCAGATCAGGAACAAGAAACATCTATTTACAGGCACTTGTTTCCTAATAGATCTACAACAACTGCCCATTCTACCTGGACTCAACCTACAACACATTTTGGTGTAGTGAATGGCCATACTTTGTAAGAATAATGTGAAAAAATAAATGATTCTAAATAAAGAGCATATTGTTATCAACATCAAATTACTTTAAAAGTAGCACAATGCAGCCACATTTTTCATCTGTACATGAATGATTTGTGTGTGCCATGCATTACCAATATAAGTCTATGTACTGTGAAAGAACATTTTTGGAAAGAAGCTATATCTGCAAGCATGGATTAATTGATTAGAACTGCAATTATGCTAAGAGCTTCCAGTGTTGCAGGTTAAGAGCCTAATTACCTTATGTTGTGCTAGTTTTAGCCACCTGAATATTCATTCCTTGTCCACCTCTGTGTCAGAACTAACATCCTGTTACTAATAGATAAAATGAATAAAAACCTTTAGGATCCATTAAATTACCAGACTACTAGCTTCCACCCACCCCAAAGCTAAGACTGTCAAGATAGCACTTGAGGCTTATAGGGGAGATACCCTATCTTGTAACCTGCTTACCAGATGTACCTGTCACACTATTTTACTATTACCTTGATTTCTGACTTTCTTTGTTTAATACTATAATACTTCATGGGACTGCTTCCATTTGGGAACATGGATCCAGGGATAACCTACCTAGCTCTATGTTCCCAAGGCCATGACCACTCAAATTTGGCTACAGAACAAACATTTCTTATTCCCTTTGAAGTGAGATCTGTGGCTTTTGAATCGACAGTAGCCTATCTAAATTACATGCACATTTCGTATTTGAAATGAATTATCTTGAACCAGAGTCACTGGCATTTATTATACATGACATAGGAAAAGTAGCTCTTAATGCTGGATTGTGATTTTAATGGAACACTAAACTTGAAGTAGCTGGAGGACTATAATTCACATTAAAACCAGAAACTTCTAATATACCCAAACCTGCCCTGTTTTAGATAAAAAAGAAATCCTTCCTTTCAAACACTCCTATTTCTATTTTTTACTCACTAAGCAAAGAATAACAAGATCAACCACAGATTCCTTCCAATGAAATATACACCTCAACATACAGATAAAAGCTGACATTTGATACATTTAACACAATTTTCATTTCATAATATTTATATGGTTTTGCAATGGATACCAAGTTTCTCCTATTATTTCTATCAATACTATTTATTTTAATAAAGAAGTATGATTGCAATATAATATGTGCAAGAGTGGGTCTGTGAACTTCCATTACGGATGGGATGGAAGAGGGGCTCTGGGTCCTTGCTCCTTCCCAGGGAGCTGTTAGCTGCTAGTAGTTGCTTGGTGAGGGTTACAATCCCTGGTTTCCAAAGGAAAGAAGTTTTGATAAAGAAGTATGGGATGGTCTGAAAGAATATTGAAAAGCATATAAACAAGCAGAAAACTTCAATTTGGCATCACACGGGCATTATTTTGGATTGTTATCAAAATGTTTAAGGAAGAGGAGAGGGATGGTAGTCATGGGAAAGAGCTAGGTAATACCTCGAATGAATACAAACTGCATGGTCAAACCTTACAATTAGTAAAAGAAGAACATGAGAAGGTGTACCAGGGCTTTTCATTTTGGCAAACAGCCAGCCCCCTAATCATGATAAGACTTAATATTAGCTATAAATATTCACCTTTATCATAACTCTTATTTTAATCTGTTTCTCTTCACCTATATTTTGTCTCAGGGATTTTACCTTTTCTTTCTGTATGCCCTACTTTCCCTGCTTCTTCTCTGTCTGTCGGGCTGGGGGCTCCCTGCTCAGCTGGCTGGCCCCAGGCATCTCCCTCTATCCCTCATTCTCTTGTCCTCCTTCTCCTTATTCTTGTTCTCTTGTGCCTAGTTTTCTACTCGTATTTATTCTGTCTGCAGACCAGCCCTCTTTTCTCTGCCTAGCTATTGGGCATTCAGCTATTTATTAGACCCATGTGGTGTTCTAGGCAGGCAAGATGAAACAAATGGAACACATCTTTACATAATTAAACAAATGCAGCAAAACAAATGTAACACACCTTTACACAGTTAAAGTAATATTATTTAGCATAAACAAATGGAACATATCTTTACATAGTTAAAGTAAGTTCCGCAACAAAAAGGTTTTCCCCATTCAGGAAAAAACAAAATTGAGAATATCAAAACTAATAATTATGCTGGTAAGGGATGACTCCCTCAGCTCTCTTACAGTAATCTCCATTAAATACATATCCTCTGTTGCCTGAAGATGATCCTGAAGCATGGGGTATGGAATTTTACATTCATTCTAATCTTGAATCCTCTTCACCTCCTGATAAGTACTTAGGAGATCTTATGAAAATGCTAACTTCATAACCTAGGCAAGCTAGGGCATGGCAGAGTAAAGGAATTTATTTATCACCCCCAAAGCTCCATGATCTATAATTGATATTTCCAATGCAACAACCAATCTATTTAAAACTCTATAATGAAAGATGGTGTTGGACTGTCCTTCCATATTATCAGGAGAGGCAAGAAAAGAACTACAGCTATTTGCATCCAGACTAAAAGAGGCATTTGTGGATCCTGTGGATCCTTCATTGCCTTCAAATTTACTTATTTCCCACACTAAATAGTCTCCTACAGGCATTGTAGCACAAGAAGATAAACCTTCGGAATGGATTTGTTTACACCATAAGTGCCACAAAATACTAACTTCCTTACTCTTCCTGCTCAATTAATTCGGGGGAGGACCTGATGTCAAAAATTATATGGATATTGATCCCTGCTATATATTACCCTTAACTAAAAAAAATCATTACTATGGAAAGAAAGGAATCATTATCCAACTTGCATACTATGAGATTTCTTTTTCATATGAACTGAATTTGTGATTATAAAAGTTGTCCACTATTATTCCATTCCATATGCAGATACTTGCTTTACTGTTGGCTTATCTAAGGGTATAGAAGAGATTTATATTCCAGGTAGCCATCAATCTATTAATACTTTTCCTCAGCACAATATGTGGGACTGTCTGTTTTGATTTATTTTTACAGTTAATTCATTTACAGTTAATTCAAAAACCCTTAAATATAATTTTAGAATCTGCTTATTTTGTAGGATTATTTCCAGCAATAGAAACTGCTTGAATTTTGTCTTCACATTCTGTTATGCTTCCATTACTACAGGAACTAAAACATGTGATTAAAACCCACACACATCCTTCGTTTATTACTCATACTCATGCATACTCTAACCTCCCTGGTTTTATTGCAGAAGAAAAAGCAAGCTGATGCATTAACATGCTTTATTTTGACTTCTCCAGAAGAAAATTGGGAAGGAGTTATATCTGTCATTGCAGATGGATACACTGAAACATTAGAGATTCCTCTTTGCTTCCTCTGGCCCAGAGGCATCAAGGACAATGGCAGAAGGAAAGGAGACAGTATAAGTAACCAGAAAGGTAGCAAACCTCCAACTAAAGAGAAAAAGGATATATCAGCCATATCATCAGAAGTCAATTCTGATACCCTTGAGCCAAGTTAAAGTCGT